TACACATTGAATGTATATGCACCTATCATAAATAAATAAATAAATATTAGTGTAAACTATTACTATGTAACTCTTCACATATACACCAGACACAGATAAACAATGACTACCTTGCATATTTATGACTGATACCAGAGGCTGTTTTGTCATAATGGTATATGTATATACTGTACATGTACATCCAATGCCTATTACACGCTACCTGTAGCATAACATTTTGCCTGTAGCATAAGATTTATACTTCTTCATGAACTCTAAGATTAGCCTGAACTAGCTTTTTAACAGCTGAATCAACAAACCTAACCCAAACTTTATCATTTATTGTAGCTTTGGGTAATATGAAAGCAAACCGGGTGCAGTATAGGAGAAACTGGGCAGCTGCAAATAGAACTTTGACAAATGCTAGTGCCGCCACACCTGTTAATGATGAGGAATTTGGGGATTCTGAATCCTTTGACCTCCTATTTAATGCTTCTCCACAGAGAAGTAATCATTCTGAATCTGACCTAGAACTAGGTGAACCTAGTTCAAAATTTGCCCGTCCCAGCCCTCACCTGAATTTGGCTTTGCATGATGATGATACTTCTACTGATGTTGGAAATAGTGGTAATAGTTCATCAGATTCTGATGATGAAAGTGTAACAGGTTATTCCCTTCATGAAGATTTGGTGAAGTGGACCAATAAGTTTTCGATCAAGCAAAATGCACTTGACGGTTTACTGGCAGCCTCGTACCCAGGCGCTTTAATAGTAAAATATATAATGTTGCATTCAGTTATAGTATAGAGGTCAGTTGAATAAAGGCGAGCGCACGGGGATTCAGTTATAGTATAGAGGTCAGTTGAATAAAGGCGAGCGCGCGGGGGTGCTTGGGGTGGTTTGGGGGAAGAAAGCGCCTGGCAGAAAATGAATTAAACATGGCGGACGTGCTTGGTGTAAATGAGGAGATACTTGAAATTTTTAAAAAATTTGAAAGACCGGTACAAAATTCGGTTCTTTCGGGTAAAGTTCTGTGCCCCCACGAGAACTGCACTCCGAAAAAGGAATTCTTCGAAGAAACGGGTATAGATCATCATTATAGAGTGCGCCACAAACACGAATATTCCCTAGCCTTAAAGAATGAGTCTGCGCGCATTGCTAGAGAAATGCACGAGAAAGAAACGCTTCAGTGCCTTGAAAATATTTTTGATAACCGCAGAAAGAAGGTAATGTTCACTTTCATTATTTTTCAGTTTTCTCGTTGTTTTACTATTAACAATAGACAGATTTAGATTGAGGACGCGGACGTCAAGAGGACGTGAAATTGCGCGCGAAGGTCTGGGTCGAGAACGCCGTCGTGTCGAGTACCAAAACAGATTTAGATTGTGTAATCAGGACGTCAAGAAGACGTTTGAAGCGTATTAGAATACAAATGCAGTAAAATGAAAAAGATTCCTTTCACAGGCCCAGACTCACCTAATTTTTCATGATTTTTTCCGACAAATTTGATGGGAAAATTGGATGTTAATGCAAAACAGACATGGTAAAAACCACAACCAAATATTGACAATGTTTTAAATTTATGAACAAGTTAAATTGTATAAAGTTTATTTTATACAATGTGCCTAGATTGTGACTAAAATAGCTGAAGTGAACTTGTAGCTTTAATATTTTGTTTTAATGATTATCCTTTGTGATTGTTCACAATAAACATAATTGATTTTGAAATAAATTTGCCGTTGAATGTCTGTAGTGTACTCAAATTTCGTGATGCTGTCGTGATGTTTTATGGTTTTAGCTGTTTTTTATACGAAATAGTTTATGCTGTGCCAATAGTTTGTGATGGCCCTTGGTGGCTTACAATCTGTTCGCGATGCTTTAATGCTTGCCAGAGAAAAGCAGTATATTTCTAATACCGAATTTATTTTGCTGTTTGAATATAATTTATCCAAACCATTATTTCCATACTGGAAATTTGAATCATTTGATCTGGATTCTTGGGATGATGAAGAATGCAAGATTGAGCTGAGATTTGCCAAGTCACACCTGGCCTTGTTACAGCGTTTGCTCAGAATTCCTGACAAGATCACTTGCCAGCAAGGAACTACATGCTCTGGCAGAGAAGCACTATGCATCTTTCTTAAACGACTAGCTTACCCATGCAGGTATTCCGACATGGCTATTCGTTTTGGTAGAAACCCATCCGAGATATGCCTCATATTTAATAAGGTTCTAGAATTGGTCTATGATGCAAACCATCACCGCCTGGAGAGTTGGAATCAACCTTTTTTGTCACAAGAGCTGCTACAGACTTGTGCTGATGCAGTACATGACAAGGGTGCCCCATTGGAAAACTGCTTTGGATTTATTGATGGCACAGTTCGCCCAATAGCTCGTCCAAAATACTACCAGAGAGAAGTGTACAATGGTCACAAGAGGGTGCATTCGATTAAATTTCAGAGTGTTGTACTGCCGAATGGTCTTACTGCTAATCTTGCTGGGCCTTATGAAGGTAAAAGACATGATAGTACAATGCTTCGTGAGTCACAGCTGCTAGCTTCTTTAAGGGAGGTTGCCTTCTACAACAACCAACCACTCTGTCTTTATGGTGATCCAGCCTACCCATTGGGGATACATTTGCAAGCACCATTTAGAAATAGGGAGCTTACACCTGAAATGAGGGAGTTTAACAAAGCTATGAGTGCTGTGAGAGTCTCGGTAGAGTGGATATTTGGTAACATCACGAAATATTTTAGCTTTGTGGATTTTAAAAGGCAGATGAAAGTACATTTACTGCAATCGGAAAGATCTATTGTGCCTCTGCATTACTCCAGAATGCCCATACCTGTCTGTATGAGAATATTGTCTCTCAAACATTTCAGCTGCAACCACCAACAATTTATGAATATTTTTGGTGATATTTCACTAACAATGTCTCATGGCTGTAGCTTTGGGAGGGAATAGTTGAGAAGAGTGACATCCCTCTGATATTGGCTGACCTGTCACCAAAATGACAAATTTATTGGCAAATCATTCTATACTCTGCCAAAAATATTTCAGTGACTCAGATCAAAAGTAATAGTTACAGCAAAACATATAAATAACACTGCATTAATTAGAAAGTTTGAGAAAAATGGTATATCTACCAAAAATTTTACCCCCCCCCCTCTTTTCAACAATTTTGGTAAAGGAAATGTTATTTCTGGGCAGATTATGACATAGACATAGACAGATATAGACAAAATATTACACATTAATTAATTGGCATGAAGAGTTTGACCTTTAAATAAAGTTGTAAACCTGTTTTTGAAACTGTTCAAAATAATTGACTTAATTCACAATTTAAAACTTGTGTTGTAAATAATTACATATTATAATACCTCAATGTTATGTAATTAAAACTTTTTTTCAAACAGTTTTCCCAAAATTTGTGTTTGCTGTTGCTGTTGTTGCATCATAGCCATCATTTGTTGTTGCATAAATTTAAATTCTTGCTGTTGTTGTTGTTGCTGCTGTTGTTGTTGCTGCATTTGCTGCTGAAGGTATTGTTCTGAAAGCTTCATCTGCATTCCAAATTGCTGTTGTGTTTGCTGCATCACTTGCAGAATTTCCAAATGTTGCATCCTCTGTGCTTCCGTATGTTCTTTTTCTCAGCCTCCTTCACCCTTTTTCTTCTTTCTCCAACTCTATCCTTTCTTGTAACCATTCCATCATCTCCCCTGATTTTCTTCTCTTTTGTGTTGCTGCACCACTTTCACTTGTTTCTCCCAACCTTTTTCTTGTTTGCCCGACCCTCTCCATCGCTCTCTTCCTTATTTCCAATGCTTGTTCTTTTTCATTCTCAATCCTTTGATTTTTAGCCTCTGTCTCATTTTCCATCAACCGATCAGTGTCGTCTTCCATATCATCAATTCTTCCAGCAACATTTCGTCTTCAGTCAGCTCAGCACCACCTTCACCTGTTGATCTCTCTTCTCTGGCCATTCTATCTCGATATTTTTTGATATCATCTTATAGTGGTCTCTTACTGCCCTTGATGTGACATCTTGACCCATAGCACTCATGTTGTCAGCCACCTTTTGCCACTGCATTCCCTGTTCCCTCGACCTCTGCTTGTGGACAAGAACACCCTCTGCGGCAACCTCTTTCAGCAATTCAAGGTCTTTTGCTTTTGACCAAACCATACTGCACCTAGTAAAATATTTAGTCACAATACTAGCAATATAAATAGCATTGTACTCTAGTCAGACATCATACCATTGATACCAACAACTTCGTAATAATTTTAATAATTTTGCAGGTCGGATTTTTAGTTACCTTTTTTTTGGGCAGTCACCTTCCTTGTCTTCCATAGCAAGAGAATTAGCTGTAAAAAATCACAGTTATCTTTAGTTTATATCTTTGTATAGTAATTACTAAATTACAGCAAATTAACAAGGTACTAGTACACTAAATCGATGTTTAATACTAAAATAATATGAAAAGCGATATATAAAAACTATGAAAACTATCTCTGAAAACAAAAGTAAAACCGTATGCCCAAACATTACGGCATTAAGCGAATTCGTGGTTGATGTTTTTGAGTTTACACTGTGACTGTATATATGTTTGTTTATATAACCAAATACCGAAACCACTGCAAAACCGGAAACAAATTTTCCCAAGTAAATTATGCAAATTAAATCAGCTTGATCTGCATAATATACGAAATCAACAAGGACAGTACTTTGTAACAAAGAATAAATTATGACTTTTATTCCTTTACATACCTTTTTTCAGGAACAAAATAAACAAAAAAACTTGACGTCCTAGGCACGACGTGAAAACTTGCTTTTGCCGTCCTGAAAATCACGAAAACGACGTCGCTATAAACACAACGCCATATTTTCGCGCCATATTACGCCATTCAACGTCCTCTTGACGTCCACGTCCTCAATCTAAATCTGTCTAATGTGTCAAGGTATTAACAAATCAATCGTATAGTATCGACGTCGTAGTGTAAAACTGTAAATATAAACTGTAAACTGGTGGGGGGAAGTCTGTTTGCTATTGGATTGCTGGCTTAGCAACAATGGGCATCACAGTTGTTATCACACCATTAATAGCACTATTGAATGACCAGGTTTCAAAATTGCAAAACTGTGGCGTCAAAGTAACCTATGTCAGCTCAACAATGTAAACAGAAGAAAGGGATGCTGTTTTTAATGATCTGACAAAAGAAACTCTTGTTAAATTTCTATACCTGACCCCAGAGTTTGCCCTTTCACCCCAAGCCACTACATGTTTTAAAGTGTTAACAGAACAAGGTATGCTTTCAAGATTTATAATAGATGAGGCACATTGTGTGGATACATGGGGACAAAGTTTTAGACCATCATATGGCCAGCTTAAAGAGCTCAAGTAATACCACAGACCCATTGCAGCATTTACTGGAACTGCAACTTCCCAAACTAGGGAGAGAATAATTGAGAGGTTGGGAATGGATAATCCTGTCACAATTCAATCCACTTGTGACCGGCCAAACTTACTTTTCACTGTTATCCCAAAAAGTGGACCACATTCCAAAAAGGATGTAGTTAAATATGTGCAAGAGAATTTTATGAACATGTGTGGTATTGTCTACTGCTTCAGTACAAAAGATACTGTAGAATTGGCCTACATATTTAAGTCGAAAGGTATTCCAGCTGTCTACTACCACGGACAACTTGGTTATTTTGAAGAGACTGACAATTCTAGGGCTTGGTTATCTGGCAAAGTTCCAATTATTTGTGCTACTAGTGCATTTGGCATGGGCATTGATAAGTCTGATGTTCGATTTGTTGTCCATCTTACAATGCCGAAATCCCTTGAGGAATACTTTCAAGAAGCAGGAAGAGCCGGACGTGATAGTAAGCATGCGCAATGTTCTCTCATGTTCAGGTTTGAGGATAGGAATAAATTGCTTCAGCTTATTACTACCTCAGCATCTGATGAATACAGAGAGCACCAAGAAAATGCATTAAATGCCATGGTTTCCTATTGCATGTCATCATCATGTAGAAGGAAGCTTATTCTTCAATACTTTGATGATGATTCTGAAGTTGTATGTAACAGTTGTGACAATTGTAGGAAACCAACATCAGCCTTCGTAGAATATACACAGCAAGCAATTAATGTCTGTCAATGTCTTGAAGAGATGATTGTTATCAATCCAAAGATTAATGTGAAGCAGCTGGCCCTTACATTTAAGGGTTCAAAGTCAAAACGCGATGTAGAAAGCAAAGGTTTCCACAATATTGCTCACTATGGTGTTGGTCAAAGCGCGTTCAAAAATGATGCGGATGCAATACGATTTGTACAGCACCTTATCATCCATGGGGTTTTAATGGAGAATATCCGTGTTGCAGATGGTAGATTTACTACACCTTTTATAACTCTTGGGAAAAACGTAAAATTGCTGAGAGACAAAAAACTACCTATTATTCTTGCATTGTAGACAAAACAGCTTAAATAAACTTAAACAAAGTAGCTCATTAAAAGGTATAAATAAGGATGTGTACGTCGTGGTACGTAAATAATAGCTTTATTGCCCCTGTGCATAGAGTAATAAATACTATATACAGTATATATAATAATTAAAATCGATATGTACACTTCATTTCCATTTAGAAATTCTAGTATACGTTTCGTGATATATGCAGCCCCAAGTGATCTTTCATTGTGTCCCTAAAGAACCCCCAGAACAATTTTAATCATCTTTTTTCAAGGGCAACGCCCTAAAATAAAGCATACTTAAATATGCCTAATATGCAAACCAACGTAAAATGAAATTGTAGTACCGTGTGGCTTGCATTTTCGCCCGATTTCGAAGACTTACGTCTGTATTCAAAAAGCTCACTCACACTCATTGAGTGTGACATAAATTTTGTCAATGCTGGTCAATGAGAGTTTTTTGTGAATAGATGGAAAGATATAAGGTAAATCACTGATAATCAAGCCACTATTCGGCTGGAAATACCGCCATTGAAACGTCATCAGAAGATTAAGATCTCCCACTCAATGAATTTGTGTTTTTAGCTTTTAGAATACAGGCGTAAAATTTCCAAGGATTTTTAGCAATTGTTCTTGCCACCCAAGATGTCGGACTACTTTTGTGTTACATAATCATTGCAAGAGCCCTTTACACAAATTAAAAATACCGCAAAGATAGATACATGTGCATGGATACATTTAATCCAACAGTTCAGTGCAGCAGTTCAGAATTTTGAATTGTCTGGTGCGCATTTAATACGTTATCCAGCGAGGCTGTCCGAAATGAAGGAAAGCAGTCGTGAAGTTTTTCTTGGAATTTATCTCTTACTTTCTTTTCACCCTTTGAGATTACTTCAGTAAAAGACTTTGAAACTCTTTTTGGAGCTACATTCGATTTATGGACTGGAAACTCGAGTGGCACTTTACCAGGCGTCACTTTAAAAAATTCATTTCTGATGCAGAACCACATCCCTTTAATAACATCTGGCAACAAACTTTGCACATTGTGTTTAGTTGTTTGATAATAATTGAACCCTGTTGGATCATTGTATGCTTTCCTAACAGAACCAAGCAAGTTTAAGTTGCCCATCAGACGCCTGCCATCTCCATTCCTCGTAGCAGTTATGAATAGTTCCAAAAGTGGGCCAAATAATGAAAATAACTGCTGGTTATATTTATGACTATCATCACAATCTCCGGCACGCTTTAGCCACTTTTTAAATTGATCAAGCAGAATGCGATTATGGTTTCCGTCCTTTCGTAAAGCTACCGATAAATCGTTCTCGGAAGGAAATTCGTCAGAATCTCAGAATTCCAGCACTGCTGCAAAACCATAAGCTGAGCTTCCGTCTCTAACTGCTTCCTGGATATGCTGCAGATTCTGTTCCTGAAATTTTCGTTTCTTGAACGCCTCTTCCGTCAGTTTGGACCTCTTCATAGTCGAATGAACCAACTTATGAAAACCACCCTTACCATGTGCCTTGAACACTGCTTCGCAAAGATGTCCCTTTGCATGCATATCGCCTGGTATATCTGTTGACCAACCATATACAGTACTGTTACGGTTTCGGACACTTCTGTTAACCTTGCAGGTTCCAACATCGCCAATAAGTGCTGTTGGAAAACCTTTAAAGTCAGTTCTCTGGTATGCAAAATCATTTTTTCTGTCAATCTTAGTACCAATTTGTGAACCATCGTCAGAATCCATAACTGTTTCGTCAAGTACGCAGGTGTCGGGCATCGGAAACTCAGAACTATCACTATCAGAGGTACTATAATTTTGCATAGCATTGACTAACTCGTATTTTCTTGCTTTAGTATCCGAAGAGAAAATCTCAGCAAAGTCAGTCAACTCCATTGCAACAGCCATTTCCAAAGGATTAGGAAATGACCCAAACATAGCACCACTATGTTCAGCAAAGTTCTCCACCAGAAGTTTACACATATTCATGTCTGCATTGATCACCGCGATCGACAAGGGCGTAGCGCCACATCCCTCTTGGATGTTTGGATTCACACCAACGGCTAAAAGAACTTTAGCGAACACATGATTTCTCTCTTCAACTGCAGCGTGAAATATTGTTCTCTCATATCTATCTTTCGTTTCATTTATTTCTTTCATTTGATGCCTTAGTTGCTGTATCGAAGAATCGTCAATACTTGATTCTTTAATCTGCTGCAATGTTCTTTGGTAAAATGTTTTAAATTGTTCATCTTTTCGCTCTTCCGCTGTTTGGAATGTTTTCTTATTGCCATCGTCCTCACTACTTTCTGAATCAGATTCAGAGGAGGGTGTGCCGGGAGTTGTGGATGAGTCAATAGCTTTCTCGCGTGACGTCAGTTGTTTCTCGAATTCTGACATTTCGACCTTGTGAATGTTGACGGACCGTATAAAGTCGTACTGTATACGTGCAGACACTATGTCAAACTTCTTTGTAGATTTATTGAGATGTATCGCATTAATCTTTGGGCAGGGAATGGAAAATTCTCTTCCAAATTCCTCAATAATTGCTGCTGTGCCTTTAATAGTGGAGTTGTCTTCTAACGACAATGGGAGGTTAATCACCTCTGTCTTCCTCATTTGGGCATTTGAACTAATTTGATGGATAGTGGGAACTTTCAAGACAAATTCCCCCCTTTGTAAATTGGCAAAGTCTACTTTGAAAAGCCACGCGTTTAGCTCCTTTTCGTCCATATTCAGAAAAGGCTTCGGAGGAGGAGGTATTCTATTCAGACAGCCTTCAAGTAACTCCAAGTAGAAGCGGTCACACCAATCGTCCCATAACCTTTTGTGTTCTTTCATGCGCATTGATTCTTGACAATAAAAAGATAAAATAATTTATATTAGATATATATCAGACATATCATATTGACACTTTCTGTTCTGTGTTGATACAATAGATTTGAGTAGGCACAATCGAAGCTCAGCCATTTGTGGGATCAGTAATTGGCCCTAATGCACACAAAATTATGGCGTGTATCAGTGTAACAGGTAAGTTGTTCTACATTCATAGAATATTGCAGACACCAAGTAGATTGATACATGTATGCATATAAATGTGTTCATACTGTGCCCACCTAAGAATAAATTTTCAACTTTTAGAGAAGCAATATCCGTTTGTGACATAGTCGCCTTTACTTTACGAGACAACAGGTCTTCGATTCCTTCAAGATTGGGAATTATTGCAGCTCGACCAGTAAAATTCCACATTTTTGGACCCAATGGATTTAGGAGTCTGAGATGTCTTCTCTTTCCATGGTACATGTTAATGTTATCCATCAGAAGAATAACTGGTTTTGTGATGGGGCATTTTTCGGCAAGCGTTTTTGGGAATTCTTTAAGTTGTTTGTCAAGGAAATTGTTTCTAAATTTTATGGAGAAAATAAACATTCAATTCCAATGGTAACATTTTAAAAAATACTATCTACAGTAAAACTGTTTGGTTATACTACATGTATATAATATTTCCAAAGGGACCAAGGGTGCAAAATGAATAATTTCAATAAACTAATGATTGAAAAAAGATTGCTTAAATACAATATACATACAATGAATCCCAATGTGGAGTTAGTCCAACAGTATTCAGCAGATTGACAAATTGCTTTCCAGCTTCATATGTGATGCACACTAATCCAAGTATCAACCATATGTCGTTGTTGCACTTTTGATTTCTAACACTGAGAAGCAAAGCTAATGCATTGACTCCACATGTTAGTTTATACTTGCATGTCTTGTGAACTCTTTTAACAGTAGAGTCTGTTACCAAAAGTGTTTGGATAACACTCAGCAATAATGGGCATTTTTCTTCAAAATTTTCAAGCAAGTTATTGAAAATGTTTTTTTCCAATATACTTTCAATATTACTACATCCTTTAAGTCCCAGGCAGCAAATCTTTTCTAACTCTTTCACTTCTTTATTGATCTGTTCTTCTTGTGTCTTACTAATTGGTTGTTCATCTTTGCTAACACTTAAGGCAACTATTTTCTTCTCATACATTTTTACCATTGCTGAAGTCATGGAAAAGTATTGATGCAGCATTACATTATAACTTGTTGTAAGCTCTTTAGCTCCATCAAAATTCTTAGCATCCAATGCATTGGAAATAGCATTTCCACTTTCAGCCAGGCGCTGCTCTTTCTCGCTAATTTCTTTACGTAATGTCTGCATATCTTTGTCTTTTACGCCAAATAATTGTTTAGGTGAATATTTTCTTACATTTGATTTGAATGCCACATTGGTGCAGAGGACTCTGCATTAGGTGTTAAGAAATGTCGGTATATTGTATTTCAATCATATTTATCCTACCTTAGGGCTGACTTGCACAATAAGTTTAAGAATGAACTAGGTTGAGGCAGGTATGGGGTAAAAACAATAACAGGTGAAATTATATGGCACATGATAATAGTGTAAATACGAAAATGGTTACAAAAAGGATACACTGACTTATTGGCAATCATAGCACTCCTTTTAGTTGCCTCTGGAAATAATGCTTTAATGGCTCTGGTAAGAATACTTTTCTGATCATCCATGACATCCAGGTATTCCATTAGCACAGACTGTTCCACATGATCATCTGGATTCTCTCGATACTCCAAAATTTCCTCAAGTTTGGATGCCAGTTGATTTCTCCTCTGACTGCATTGTCGGCTGGACAAATTTGATGCTGAAAATATTTTTTTAATGTTTGTTTAAACTCAACCCCCTAAACTCAAACTCAAACCACTTGTATATTCCTTTATTGGATGAAGCAAAACTAACCTGCAAATCGCTTTGATTTTGGCTCATTCGAAGCTTTGGACTCTGGTGTCAATGTGTGTTTTCCGAAACCAAGCTCCTCTAAATTACTGAATGAGCTACTTGGTGAATCATATTCAACTGTATCATGAGTGTCTAAAATATATGTTTGCATTGCTTAGTCAGTTTATAGTTAGTCTTTATTATAACTAACAGTCATATAAAATATATTCTTTATTACCTTCTTCAAAATTAATTTGTTGAAACGATGCATTAAATTCATCATCAGAACTTCCTTGTGCTATTGAGGAACATATGTATACATTTTAGCAGAAGAGATGTCTACATTATCCAGTATTAAAAACTGTTGCCTTTAGTGCCTTTGCCAGGAATTTTAGATATATGCAAATTAGTACGCAATTTATGTATAAATTCCATTTTTGTCCTTTTAGAATCCCCCTATAACATTTGAACCTATTAAACATACGTTTTCCCTACCAATAAAACATATAATTTTATTTAAACAGAACAAAGGAAGAGTCTGTGACTCTGCGCATTAACAATACACTATACATTGGCGTAAAAATATTCAAAACAAGCCGTATAATATGAAGAAAAACAAAACTGTATCATCAAATACCTTCATATGATGACTTTCGTCCTGCGTCGTCCATATTTTTTCAATATTTTAGCCAAAATAGAACAAAAAGCACTCAAAAATAATATTTTGCAGAAATCTACACAATTTTGCAGAAATCGACACGTTTTCTGCCAGGCGCTTCATTCTTCCGTCGCGTCCACCCAAGCACCCCCGCGCGCTCGCCTTTATTCAACTGACCACCCCAAGCACCCCCGCGCGCTCGCCTTTATTCAACTGACCTCTATACTATAACTGAATCCCCGCGCGCTCGCCTTTATTCAACTGACCTCTATACTATAACTGAATGCAACATTATATATTTTACTATTAAAGCGCCTGGGTACGAGGCTGGTTTACTGGTACTGCTAAAACGTAGTGGTCATCCTAATTTGCCAGGTTGTGCACGTACATTACTGAAAACTTTAAGGACTGTTTCCATTCAGAAAAAGTCTGGAATGGATTATGTATATTTTCCACTTGCTGCTCAGTTGCTCGAGCATTTTAAGAGATATCCTGTAAAAATTGTTCGTGGGGTGGATTCACTTGAGATATCTTTAAATATAGATGGCCTTCCCTTATTTAAGAGTTCAAGCACAAACTTATGGCCAGTGTTGTGTGCTATAGTGAACCTGTCGTAGTTTAAACCTGTCGTAGTTTTTCCGGTTGTACTGACATGCGGCAAGTCCAAGCCTCAGGACTTAGATTTTTTAGATGAACTTATCGATGAATTAGACAATGTTTTAAAGAATGGAGTGCAAGATGGGGACAGGGTACTCTCAGTTTCTTTTAGATGCTGTGTTTGTGGTGCACCAGTAAGAGCTCTTGTTAAAGGCACAAAGCTGTGCTCGGGATATTTTGTGTGTGACAAGTGTGCACAGAAGGGATTGTGGGTTGGGCAAGTTATATATCCCCAAGTTAAGACTGTTCAATTGCGAACTGATGTTACCTTCAGAGATCAAGTTAATGAAGAACATCATCATTGTGTAAGTCCTTTCTGTGACTTGCCAATTGATATGGTAAAGAAATTTCCCATTGACTATATGCACCAACTATGCTTGGGAGTTATGCGTAAATTAATATTGCTGTGGATGAGGGGAAATCGCGGAGTGAAGATGTCGGCTGGTCATGTTAAAGCTGTCAGCAAAAAATTGTTAGAACTAAAGCGTTTTGTACCCAAAATTTTTGAAAGAAAGCCAAGGGGTTTGTCAGAAGTTGACAGATGGAAAGCAACAGAATTCAGGCAATTTCTTTTGTATACAGGGAAAATTGCTCTCAGTGGTATACTAAGAGTTTGATATAGTTTTCATATTATTAACATGCCTTTCTGTTTTATCTTCATTCTTTCCAGAAGCATGTATAAGAGTCCACAAAGGAAGTTCAGACCTAAATATTGAAGAACAAATAGCAGAATACTTAAAACATGCTCCTAGCAAGGCTGGTGGCTCAAGGTTTATTAAGGTATAGCTGTCTATTTGCAATTATAATATACAGAAGGTTACTATGTATCAAAATTGAAAAATACGGAAATGACTCCAGTATTTTTTTTCTAACCTAAAACGTTTTAAAAAATATTTCAATGTACCGATATTTAAAAGTCTGACTTACTATACGGACTTCATGGAACAAACTCGGAAAATGTTTTTGTAAGATATTCAAAGCTGTACGTTTTTTTATGTGGAGCTTTTACTAAGCCTCTTGGCTTGCCTATTTAGATGTTAGGATGTGCATGATAGCCAATTCCAAGAAACTAGAACTTATATGTTCTTTCTTGTATTTCAGGATCGCAAGAACGGGACAAATGAAGCTTAGAAATGATTTAACACGTGCGAGATGACATTGTCTTTTCTGATTTCTCATATTTCTATCGCCATATATACTGTATCTACAAATTATCAATATTCGGAATATACAGCTAATTCAAATAAGGTTGTCCTTTCACAACCTTAAATGTTAAACTTTGAGCGCGCCTATTAACCTTAAACACAAAATAATTAAATTGCCTTTCAGCAAGTATGCTTTAAAAAATCTGTCGTGAGTCTTCTATGTCTTGCCGGGGTATTATTGCAGTCTAAATAGTCTAAATATGCAAAGAACCATCATCTGTTGAGCGTTCAAGGTCTAACGTTTATGGTTATAGAAGAACAACGTTAATTGAATCAGCTGTAAGTAAATAAGATAGTGTAATTGTTGTAAATCAAACGATTTTCTAAATACAGGTATTACACCGAACACTTTGTTTTAAACTCGTTTATTTACGCCTTTCAGTAACAATGTTTTGTCAACATATTCGTTGCAAGAACCTGCCACGATTTTATGCTGGCGAATTTTAGAAGTTAATTTGGCTGGATATATTCTTACAAGGTTAATTCCAGAGGTTTTCTGGACGTTAAACGAACATTGCAGAAACGTTGAACCAACGTTATGTTCTAACGTTAATTCCGACGTTGTCACCATGTTCCTGCAAGTTCACAAAATAATGTTCCCACAACTAATAACACCAGGTTATCTTAACGTTCATACAACGTTTTTCTGAAGGTTAACTTAACGTTGCAGGAACGTTGAACCAACGTCATGTTCTAACGTTAATCCCGACCTTGTCTCCACGTTCCTGCGAGTTCACAAAAAAAGTTGCTACAACTTATAAAACCAACGTTGTCCCAAGGTTTGGCGAACGTTCGTACAAGGTTCGTACAACGCGATTGTGCTAGCTGGGTCTGTTATGTAGGAACACAGGGACCATACAAAGACCAATAGAATTTCGACAACAGAACAAAAATAATTTTAATTGAGAATTAATGTTTTTTCGCCAATTCGCACAAGGGATGCCAATAAAATTATTGCTCACACAAACAGGCAAATTACTCCAAGAAAAACGTACGAAGATTTTAGGGATCAAGATAAAAAATCCAGGCATTTTTCTCAGGGATTCTTGAGATATCTTTGAATTGACAATATGACAAAATTAAAATTGACAATATGGGGGATAGACAGCACGCTCCCAAGCGCGGTGCGCAAAAATTAAATAATTCTATATCTAGTACGCCCAGTAAGCCAGTTCGAGCAAAAATTTCTAAACCTAATGACTCAAAAGAGATGACGGAGAAAGACAAAACGACAGAAACATTGTCAGTAACAAGTATGTTCGAAATGATAATGACAAAGCTTGGCAAGTTAGACACTATTGACAGCCGCATGAAATCTGTCGAGCAAGAATTGAAGGAAATGAAGCATTCACTTGAGTTTGTCCATGCCGAAGTGAAAGAGCTCAAGGAAGAAAATGAAAAGCGTAAGAAGAGCGACGATGAGACGCAGCAAAGACTACGAAAGCTAGAAGAAATTAACACTGATTTAAATAATCGCGATAATTTGATTTTCTATAACGTGCAAGAAAATGACGAAGAAAACTCGACTGAGATTGTTCACAGTCTATTGGAATCTCATTTTAAAATCCAAGATGCGAAATCCATAAAGATTGACCGTGCGCATAGAATGGGAAAGAAGCAGTGAGGTGCAACAAAGCCACGTACCATTGTAGCGAAATTCAATTATTTTCCAGACAAGGTGCGCATATTGGCCAATGCGAAGAATCTCAAGGGTACAAATATTGGGGTTCCGAACAGTTCCCTCAAGAAATTGTCCAGATTCGGAAACGTCTATACCAAGAATTGAAAAAAGCTAGAGAAACAGGCAAGAACGCGAAATTGGTAAGGGATAAACTCTACATTGATGGACAGCTTTTTAGGGAACAACGTTAGCATCGAGAATTTCAAAATATCACTAAATTAATATCGTAATAACTTACTTAGTATTTCACTTTTTGAATAAATTACTATGACACAACAACCCACAGAAGAGATGTGTGATCAAAATAATTTTGCATTTCACAGTCTTTCTAACAATGAATTTGAAATTTTAAATGCTACAAATAAGCTAAGTCAAAGTGATATGGATAGACTGAGCCATATGAAATTTAATCCATTTCAGTTCGATTCAAATATAGCGCTTTCCGCTAATAATTTAAACCTTGACACATCTTTTAATACAAACAGTATTAAGTGCAATTATTATCTACCAAGTGAATTCAAAAACCAAACCAAAAATATTGTCGGACAAGAAAAATTCTCGCTGTTACATTTGAATATAAGGAGTATAGCAAATAAATTTGATTCTTTAAAAAATCTGATTGACACTTCGAATTTACCTTTTCAAGTAATAGGACTTACTGAGACATGGTTAAATGAAAATAGTGCGAATTGTTTTAACCTGGAAAATTATGAATACCTAGGTTCGAACAGACCAACAAAAAAAGGTGGTGGAGTCGGATTATATATTTTAAAACAATTAGAGTTCAAAAGTCGAAACGACTTGTCAAAAAATATAGAAAATATAATTGAAACTAAGTTCACTGAAATAATGAACACTTTTGGTAAAAGTTTCATTATCGGAGTAATCTATAGACCTCCGAATAGTAATTTTGAAACGTTTAAAAACACATTGAATACAATTTTAGAAAAGATTGACAAAGAAAACAAAGTTTGTTATTTAATGGGAGACTTTAACATTGGCCTTTTTAAATCAGAATCTTGTAATTATGCAAACCAATTTGTTGAACAATTATTCACTTCATCATTTTTTCCTCTAATCACTAAACCTACAAGGATTACTTATCATACTGCAACATTAATTGACAACATCTTCACGAATAACATAGAAGTACTTGATAATAGCTCAAATGGTATCATTTTCAGCGATATATCAGATCACTTACCTATAGTACACACGTTTAACAGTCAACGTGTACTGGACAAAAACAATGATAGGGGTAATGTAAATAATACTACATATCAAAGAATATTCAAAAAAGCTAACATAGAAACGTTTACAGATGCTATTAAAGGTATTTCCTGGAATGAAATATTAAATGAAACAAACGACCCAGAAATAGCCTATAATAAGTTCTTAAAATTGTTCATGGAATTATATGATGCAAATTTCCCATTAAAAAAAAGAAAAAACAATGGAAAGATAAATAAAAACAAAAGCCCATGGATAACCAACTGTATATTAAAATCTGTTAGAAAGAAGCATAAG